TCAACTTTGACTCACGATCTACTTTAGTTTTAAATAATGGAATAACATTTGCTGCTTTCCACTGCTCAGGGAAAACTCCTGACGACAGTGAAAGGTTATAAACTAAATACGAAAAAGCACTGGTTATACCATCTGCGCAAATCTTGATAATTCTATTGCTTATACCATCTGGACATGCACATGCTTTACTAATATCTACTCCACGTAAGAGGCTACTTATTTCGTATTCGGTAGCAATCACGTGTGACAAAATGACAGAAGACTGAAAAGATATAATATCATTAGGAATAGTCGCAGCACCATCATCAATGGTACTCTGACTACAAAAATAATCATTCAATACTTCAGCTTTCTCTTTAGCATCGCTGATTATGTTTGGACCTTCCATGAGTGTTGGTACAGATTCGCGGATTTTTTTCCCATATAAAGATTTAACAATCCCCCACCATTTTTTTGAGCTCACCTCGGGTTCATAGTGAAGCTTATTATTTAAATTTGCATAGTAAAGCGCTTTATTTGATCTTATTAATGTTGTGTTATAATTTCTTTGTACTCTATATTTTTCCCAAGATGCCGACGTTTTTAGTCTAGAATGGTTTTTTAACAGTCTGTTTCGCTTCCTGATAGCCTTTCTGACCTTACTGTTCATCCAGGGTTTATCGTGTGCATGGGCGGATAACCACCGTTTTTCTATGAATAGGTTTCTCAACAATTTGTTGAAAAGTTAAAAACCAATTATTATATAAAATATTTACATTATTACTAAACAAGCTCTCGTCTAGTTCAAAATTTGACAATGCTAAATTTAAAGCCTCCTCATTTATGTTCTGATAATTCCAAACAGAGCGCTTGTAACACTTTCGTTTTGACAAGGAAATACTCATTTTCGCGAAAATAAATGAGTGATGACAATTTGCAGGTGGGCTTAGGGTGCCAGAGTTTACAAAATATCCTGGACAGTTAGTAATGATCAAATCTAAAAGTGTGGCACTAGTTGAGGTAATACGTGTGGGTTCATTGATGACTTGTGATAAATTATTAGACTCTATATCCACCGATACAATAAGGAACCGAAGTCGCTACTTTCCGATGGATTTTCTACATTGTAATTTCCATTTAAATCGCCTAACAAAATAACCACTTTATTCGATTCTAATTGAACTTTATCTAAGCAAATTTGCAAATTCTCCAAAAATCCCATGTTGGCGTCAATGAATTGCTTCGTTCTTTAGAAAAACCTCCATCCAATTGGAGACGACCTTCCGAGGCACTGCGAGGCTTCCCTTTTTTTGTATAGTAAAATATTTAAATGAAGACGAATTCAAAGTAAATTTATTTTCATGCTAGAATTTGAAATAAATTTATTTCGATTTTGAAACACAATGTTTACCGTTAAAAGGCAGTTTAGTTTTAAGAACATTTTGAAACGTTTTGCGAAGCGTTTGTGGTTGATTATTACATTAATTTTAAATTGAAGCTTCTATTACGTACAACATACCTAGCATATATATGTTTGGGAAATTGATCATTTTGTAATTAAAAGTAATATTTTGGGGGGATTTTTCAATTTTAAAACTATTCTTAAAATTATCGTGTTACGATGACAATACTTCATGTTTGGAAAATATAATAGTTTTTGTCAGCAAGGCGAGAGTTTCTGCATGCATGTATTTTCTAGTTATTATTATTAATATTAAAGACCATGTAAAGTCCGTTCTGCGCAGGCCTATATTCCAATGGCCGGGGACCTGACCATTGGAATGTTATTAATATTTCGCAGTATTCGCACCTTCCGAACTTTCTAATTGAATTGAATCTCTAGTCTGTATTCATTTACAAGCATAGCGAACCAAAATAGTGTTAAAAATTTAGTATAATATACAGGGTGTAAACAGGTGGGAAATTTGTCCTCGCTGACCAAAAAATCGCGGGCAGAAACAAAGTCCATTGCATTTACATTCAAAACAATGCAGAAAGTTAGCACGATTTTTTGCTTTCCATTCAAACGGTTCACAAATTAACGGTTATTCTTTCTAAAGTCGATCATTACTCCCTTGTTTTGGGATGATTGTTTTTTGTAATCGAGTGATTGGAAGAATTGAATATAGCGACGTCAACATGGGAGCAAATACCGGGGGGGGGGGATGAATATGGGTATAAAATCCGCCGTTCCGCCCAAATTTGAAGCAAAATCCGCCGATCCGACAATGGTCTTGTCTAAATTTGGATCCGGAAAAAGCTCTACTATGAAGTTACAATCCAGGATCCTAACTAATTAATTGCAAGCAAAATCCGCATCTGAGCCAAAATATTAGATAAATCCGTAATCCGCTGTATAAGGTGGTCCTGAACAAAATTTTAATTTTTTTTTGGTTTTGGTTTTTTCAGAAGTATCTTTGTTGGGAATGATAAAGTATCACTCCCTGATTTCATCAACAAAGATTTCATCTGTGTTGTTGCCATGGTTATCGAGACACGCCCTTCGATAACCTAAAAAGTCCCTTTTTGGAGGGCAAAATTGCCAGAGCAATAGTTGATAGAAAAATATGAAAATAGGTTTAAGTTAAAACTAATAGGTCTAGCAATAACCTAAACCTCAAAAAAGTGAAATTTATTGATAACAATGAAAAAATCATAATTTGTTTCATAATGAAGCCTAAATTCGGGTCCGTTAATTTAATTAAAGTATTCATATAAATTATATTTTTACCTTGGATGACATTTTTAAAGTTTAGATTTGAGATCTATTCACAATAGTGAAATTCTGAAAATTTGAACGAATTAGCACAAATATTGAATGAGATATTCATCCCCAAATCTGAGACATGTCAATTTGTGAAAATTGAGACGAAAGTTTCGTAACAGCTTTCATTGATGAGCATTTTATTTTCACAAGCCTATATAAAGTCTGACTGTATTTAAAATGCTCCTGCATATAGGTTTTTCCTTCTTTTTGTTCATTTTTGTCCCCTTGTTGTTTTCTCTTCCCCTCAGTATCTTTCTTTGCTTTTTATTTTTATCCTCTGACCTATAGTTAGTCGGTCAGTTTCATTCACACCAGCATGACAAAAGGATCCTGGTTTCACTCCAAGAGCTTCAAACACTTTGATGGTTGCCTTGCTGCCAATATTAAAATGAGCAACAGCATCATAAACCCCTAACTGGAATGAATCTGTTCCAACAAACACTGTTTTGGGAACCCTTTGCCAAATCATTCCGTTGAATGCCTCATTTTGATTCTGAGTCTTACCATCAAGACACCTCCTAAGAAGTTCTTTATCACTGAGCCTGGCATATACAGGCTTTATCTGTGTCGAAACTTCCAAAGGTAAACCCTTGCCATGTTTATATGTGGTTGTTCCATTTGCCTTATCGCGCTTGTAGCCACACCAGCTATCCTTCCCGTCTGGACAATGTGTATGCAATGGCTTCATATCATTGGATGCACAGTGCCATAAGCTTGCAACCACATCACTTTCCATTGCCTTCAAATTCCCACTGTTACTCCTTATGGCAATCCCATAATAGTTCTGGAGTTTGTCTATCATGTTGTCTGTAAGTTTCCCTTTTCCACCAAGGCCTTTTGTCTCCTTCTTCGATTTACGCAATGCCTTTCCAAGTTGTTTCTGCACATGCCCAACACATTCTTTCTTCTCAACAACAACACCACGATCTTTCTCATAAACATGTTCCACAGCTGTAAAACTTTTACTATCCCCTTCTCCATAAAATTCGTTATACTGAAAACCATAACTGCTTATACTGAGCGGCCGAAAATTCGTTTAGCTCCTTCGGGTTCCATGGCAGGTGCTGATCCACTATAATTAGCTTTGCATTTATCTTTGTGTTCGGCCTTCCATTCCCTATGTTCTGAGGTATCGTCATCATTTTCATGTTTTTTGCATCCTTGCACACTTTGCTCAATGGCTCAACGTCTAAAATCTTCCCAGTACGTTTCCATTGAAATTGCAGTAACACACCCATGCAAGGAGGAGAAACCCCTCCTCTGCCATGTCCCATCACACGACACACCAGTTTTTACAATTTCTTCGCCATTCTGGCTTTTGGAATTAAAAATTTCCTCTGCAGCATCTTTGGTGGTTTTCTCAGCAACATCCTTAACAGCACGTAGGATTGCTTTGGTGTGATCGTTATATGACTTTGTCCCTACTGGTGGTGGCATGTTCATGGTCCAACAAAAACGATTCATTGCTGACAATCTACAACCAATTGATCGCATTGCATATACCATTCTACGATTGATTTCAAAAGTATGGCCCAATTTTTTTAGAGGTATAAAATGCTTGACTCCATAGGGAGGCACAACCAACTCGTTTTGAACTGTCGTCCAGAAAGGTCAACTGGCAGTTAAAACATTCTTTGCAAGGCAGTAGTTCAGAAATGGTACTCAGTATCGTAATATCTATGAATCGATAACCATTTAATTCCTCTTGACCCACTGTAGGTTGGGGAACTTCACCAATCTTTCGTGCTGAGGCCGATTGTCTTGGCTTCCCGAAACCTTCACCTTCCTGGACGTCATGTGTAACATGTGGCTGTGGCATGCTTCCTCCACTGCGATTTTCAGTCGAATTTCGTTTTACTTTAATGGGTTTTGAATCAACATGTTGATTCCCAAAGAACTTACGTTTCTTTTTATATGTTCTTACCATTTCAGTACACGGACTTTCAGTACACGGACTCAAATATAACTGTTGTAAACGAAGCTCTAAAAATATAAAATATTGAAGTTCAAGATGGCTGCGGAAGAATCCCAAAATGTTGACGTCGAATACACGCTAAATACTTCATGTAATACGATGTAAAACATGTTGAAACTTCAATATGATAGGTAGGAAGGGGTGGGTTAGTTTTCGGAGGCAAAAATGCAAATTCAAATGGTCTAATTGTATGAAAGAAACAATAACATTTCGTTGCTAGGGCGGTTGCTAAGGATCTAATTAATGCTTTACCTCTTTCTTTTTAATATTTACCTGTTTTATTTTGCTCCAAACCAAAAAATAACTTCACGACATGAAAGAGCAATGTTCATATATGCAAAAAATTATATTTTCGAAAATTTGATTTTTTGGAAAAAAATTTGTCCAAGACCACCTTATTAATTTAAATAATAAGATCCGCAAATCCGTGTAAAATATTCGCCAGATCCAAACCTATTCACGCCCCCCCCCCCTCCTCCATACCGTATACGTCGACCTATGGCTTGTTTAAAACCGTACTAAACGAAGAAAAACGTGATATGAGAATGAAATGTAAGCTGAAATTAATTTTATATATATGCCGCAAATGTAACTTCAAACTGGTCTAAGTTCAAAATACAAGCTCGCGAAAGTTCACAAATTTTGAAAATATATTAAAATAGCTTGACTTTGAACTGTATTTTTTTAAAATAGCCCGTGGCCTCAATTTCAAATATAGCTAAATGAAAAGAAAAAGCTTTTCGGCGTTTGTAGGTATCATACATGTCGTCAGGAAAATAGAGGCTCACAATGTTTTAGCTAAGTCTTTGAAACCCAGTTGCTTCGCACGTGTTGTGGTGAAATTTTTGCCAAGAAACAATGGTCAAATGTGAAGATCCTTCATGAGAACCGCTTCGAGAAGGGTCTAGTTCGAAAATTTAGCTATTAGTTTGAATTCGATTTCATGTGCATATTTTGGTTACACGTTAAATATTTTTGTACTTGATGAGATTCAAAATGTTTTGTATATTCAAGCTCGGCTTCAGTGTAATTTTAGTGATGACCGGTGTCAAAGGACTTTCGCCCCCTCTCAAAAAGGGGCGTGGGGGAGATATTTCTAGGAATATTGTCCCCGGGGGGGGGGGAACATCCTGGGAATCTCGCCCCCAGGGGGGCGAATATCCTAAGAATATCGACCCTTTTAGGAAATTCCCCCCCCCCCATATAAATTTTGAATTTTTGATCTAAAAACAAAATGATTGCAAGTTGAAAAGATTTATTGTGTTAAGAATTTGATGGTGAAGTCTTAACTCCTTCACACTTAATATATGGTGGAGCAATTAATATTATTCCACAAAAAGAAGAAACTAAAGGCGAGAACAGTTGCGTGGAGGGATTTAAATATTATCGTTAAAATTAGAGCACTTCTGGAAGAGGTGGCAAAAGGAGTATCTAAATGCAAAAAGAGAGTTTCATAAATGCAAAAACGGAGGTAGATTGAGAGAAGTAAAGAAGGCAGACGTTGTGACAGTGTATACGGAGAAGGAGGAAAGAGATGTACTTGGAAGTTAGCAGTTGTAGAAGAGTTAATTGTAGGTAAGGACAAGGATGTCCGAGGGGCAAAAATAAAGGTTTCAGACAAGGGTAGACCAGTTGGCAGTCTATTTGAATAGGTCTATTCAGAAATTATTTCCCGGCATTGGAGGTTCAAGCTCGACCGGGTAGGAATGGGCAGGGAGAAGATCCCCCCGTAGCTAAGTCAGACGGGTCCTTGCATGTTTTGCATGATCGTCCGTGACGGGCTGCTGCGAGGTGGGTGGGGTGTCGTAGGTTCCCAGCTCCGCGCCGCCAATTCATTCAACTATAATATACTGCATGTAATATATCAATATTCTAATTGACGTAATTCAAACTAAAAAGTCTTTGTACGTGTCAATTGATACGTCACATTAGCACATTGTAATTTGGCAGCAATCTCGTTCCCAGATCGTTCCCTTTTGTAAAATGAGTTATCTATAAATTTAAGATGCCAGGTGTTTTTGTAGCATCTGAATAAATTATAGAATAATTAATTTAAAACAATTAAAAGTTCCCCAGAGCCCAGATTGTAAATGATTGCCACTTGACAGCACGATGTAAGACTGTAACTAAGCCAAACCTGAAATAATTTTTGCATCAAGTTAACACTTGTAGCAGTTAATGAAACATTTGTGTCTGGATAAAAAATAAGTAGTGAATTTAAATACAGATGTTTCCTTGTCTGTTGCTAATAATGTGAAACAATGTTGTTTACAGCAATAAGAATCATTGTGGATCAATAACAATGCTCATTTGCTAAAAATATACAAGCATTGATTCCATTTTCAAACTATTATTCTATGTGAAGATATTGCCAATTATATATAAAAGGAGATACAGTAGGATTGAAATTGCTACCAGTTTCAATCAAATAACTACTTAATTTCTGTATCAAGCCTTCTGGGTGTTATTAGTCCCAAGCATCATTGAGGGAGCACTTGTCCTAAATATATGCAATAAGTCAGGTTACCATTACAAAAGTCCATATTCATAGTTACCATTGTACTATATTTTATTAACATACTGCAGAAATGCAATATAGTTCATGATTTTGAAAGTTAATTGAATGAGGGCTGCATGGTTAAAGGGGGGGGGGGGCTTATTTATTTTGATTTTTGTATCCAAAGAAGGGGTATTGGAGAGAGGCTCAAAAGAGAGGGGGCTAAATATTGAAATTACAGTACCTACAATCCTTCCTCACCCTTCCCAAACATGCTGCAGCAGAGGGGGTAACTGCAAGGGTTAATGCATGGATTTTAAGATCAATGTATTGCATGTTATGTACCTGGTAATGAAAAAAAAACGGAGATTCCCACTGAAACAAAGGATACTAAACCGACAACCATTGGAAAAGTAGGACACCTAGTCGGACATACCTAGGTTATTATCGCCGTTTTATCCTCAACTTCTCACGAATTGCTAATCCATTGTACGATTTCCTCAACACGGCTAATAGCGAGGCCCGGAGCTACGGAAAGTAGGGAGGGGGGGGGGAGGGGTGACACGCCGCAGAAATTTTATTCGAAGCTTCAGTCGGCAGGACTGCTATTTTAGTTGGCAGACAAAAATAGTTTTGACGAATAAAACCACTACCGATGGGATTTTTAGCTGTTATATAAGAAACGAAAATTTTGGTTACTCTAAATTTATTCAGCAGGATAATCATCATAATCGGTTAGTAAAACAAGCCCAAATTAACAGTTATACCACATAGCGATACAAAAGATCCTAAATGAAGTATATGTAGCATGTTTGACAGGTACAACCGCTCAACACAATATATTTCCGCCAAAAGCTCAATTATCAAATATGGCAATTTATAACAGGCTTTATTTAGAGCACAACGGCAGTGGCGCC